ATAACTTATACAGTCAATTAACACATATTTTGTGTGTTATATGTATTATATACTGTATTCTTACAGTAAAGTAAGCTAGAGAAAACAAAATGTTATTAAAACCAAAATGAAGACAAAATACATTTATGGTACTGTTCGGTATTTATTGAAAACGACCCCGTATAAGTGGACCTGCGCAGTGCTACTTGTGTTGTTCAAGGGTCCACTGTCTTTTCAAATCCTTTGCCCCTTCAAAATATGTGAATATATTTTGACCTAGCAATTCCACTCCTTTTTACCTTAGAGAAATTCTCATGCATGTGCACAGGGAGACCTGTATGAGGATATTCATAAAGCATTGTTTGTAAAAGGAACAAGTAGGAAACAAATTGAATTACCGTCAGGGGATCGGGTAAACACACATCCTTTCCAAAGTGTATTTCAGACTGTGACCCATTGACAGCTCATGAAATTCAATTTAGTAAGTTGCAGCCAGAATTAAAAAAACAGAACAGTACAGAATGGAAAGCACTTCAAGAATCAAGGCTAATATATTTCCGTCTATGGGTCATGGTCAGTAAAGTTTGAAAAACACTGCTGTTCAATGCTTTGTGGGAGTTAAAGCATGAAGGTAGATCTGTTTGTACGGTCATGAAAACATCTTCAGGACACATAAAGAAAAGATGCTGCAGAATAAGACACACAGTTTGATTGTATTCGTTTTGCTTTTAAGCCACACACAAAAAACTATGTCCCTATGTTTGCAAGTGCATAGAAAAAGGCCTGGAAGGAAGCTTGTCTTGCTGACAACAGTGGTTACCTGTTAGGACGGGGCTATGATGGGGAGTTGTTACCTCTGAGGAGGGGGCTACTAAGAGGAATAGTCCAGAGCTTTAGGCTGGTCGGTATTTTTTTTTCCTTCCACTCCCTTCATCCATATGCCCCTTCCTCCTACCCCTTCTCCTCTGACAGCTACCGGATTGTTCTCTGTGTTTATGGGTCCGTTTCTGCTTTTTTGTTTGTTTTGTTTTTTAGCTTCTATATATAAGCGAAACAGTATGGTATCCGTCTTACTTTGACTTATTTCACAGAGCGTGATACCCTCTAGGTCCATCCCTGTTCTTACGGTGTCAAGATCTCATTCTTTTATACAGCTGAGAATAGTCCATTGTATGTATAGACCTTATCTTCCTTATCCATCTTTCAAGGGGAACTTGGGCTGCTGCCATATCTTTGGCTATTGTAAATAATTCTGCGATAAACATAGGGGTGCATCTTCTCAAATTAGTGTTTTCGTTTTCTTTGGGTAAATGTCCAGTAGTGGGATTACTGGGTCATGTGGTAATTCTAATTTTAATTTAAAAAGTTTTTTAAAATGTTTATTTATTAAGAAAAAAAATTTTTTTAATGCTTATTTATTTTTGACTGAGAGGGAGACAGAGCATGAGCAGGGGAGGGCCAGAGAGAGAGGGAGACACAGAATCCGAAGCAGGCTCCAGGCTCCGAGCTGTCAGCACAGAGACCGATGCCGGGCTCGAACCCATGGACCGTGAGATCATGACCTGAGCCGAAGTCGGATGCTTAACCGACTGAGCCACCCAGGAGCCCCTCTAGTTGTAATTTTTTGAGGAACCTCCATACTGTTTCCCACAGTGGCTGTACCGGTTTGCACTCCCACCAGCAGTGCATGAGGGTTCCTGTTCCTCCATGTCCTTGCCAACACTTCTTTTCTCTTTGATTGTAGCCATTCTGACAGGTGGGAGGTGAGACCTTATTGTGGTTTTGATTTGCACCTCCCCTGATGATGAGTGATGACGAGCATCTTTTCATGTGCCCATCGGCCACCTGTATGTCTTCTTTTGTCTGTATTTTCTGTATTTATATATTTCTTCTCTAAGAATACATAACACGTAACGAGAAGTGGGTTGTCAAGAGGCAGACAGAGGTGCACCTGCTGTAATTGTTTTCTGAATGTGATGCCCGGTTCTATTCCCAGCTCTCCCAACGCCTTATCAACGAGACGCTTAGTCCTCTAGACCTTGTTGGGTCTCGTGGTGTGAATGGACGGTGCCTGCTGCCACATACAGCACAGAAAGTGACTGTCCCTTTTGGGTGGCGGTAGGACCAAGACGGGAGGGCGAGGTGGTGAAGCACAGGTGAGCGTCTCTTCATTTGCTCGACAGAGAGTCCATAAAAAGCAGCCTCAGTGACCGTGCCCTGTGCCGATCACTGGAAGTCCTCTGCCTGGGTTCGTTTGGAACTCGCCATGTCTTCCTTGAGGAAGGTGTAAGGGGCGCCAGGGCGGTGTAGAGATTAAGGGCATGGGGTTCGAAATCAAGCCAGCTTGGGTCTTTTCAGCTGACTGACTTTTCTGAGTTTCAGTTTTCCCCATTAAAAAAAAAGGCAGCCTTCAAAACCGCCACCTGCTGTAGAAGGGCCATGGTGAGGCTTCAGTAGGAGGCTGCCCATCCTAGTGGGGTGCTCGTTCACTGTGGGTGTCCCTGCAGGGAAGGTTGTTAGATTACGCTGTATCTGGCATGTGAGGAAACCGGCGCTGACCGTGTGCCATGTTCGTATGGGAGCTTTGGGTGGCCCGGGCACAGGTTAGCGGTGACACGGACACAAGGAAACCTGGATTTTGGTCTCTGCTTTGCTGATAACCCCTTGTGATTTTGAGCAAAGAGGTTCCTTCCCCTTTCTGCGCCTTAGTCTCCCCCATCAATACCATGATAAGATTGTACCTCAGCCCTCTGCTTTCGCTTGCATAGTTCTGATTTCAACCTAGGCCTAAGGCTAAGAGTGAATGATCTGAGTGGGGAGAGGGAGCTACTTAAAGCTGGCGGGTGGCTAGAACTGACTGGAGATTGCAGATGACAGAGAGTCATAGCATTTTATTTTTTTATTTTTTTATTTAAAAAAAATTTTTTTTTTCAACGTTTATTTATTTTTGGGATAGAGAGAGACAGAGCATGAACGGGGGAGGGGCAGAGAGAGAGGAAGACACAGAATCGGAAACAGGCTCCAGGCTCCGAGCCATCAGCCCAGAGCCCGACGCGGGGCTCGAACTCACGGACCGTGAGATCGTGACCTGGCTGAAGTCGGCCGCCTAACCGACTGCGCCACCCAGGCGCCCCGAGAGTCATAGCATTTTAAAAGTGGGTATGTAAAACCCAAGTGGAAATTTGGCAGGAACCAGGCAGGAACTTGTGCATTAAATAGCGGTTCTTTTAATAATTGGGATGTCAAATGTCATTTTTCAGACTTCATTGTTTGCCTCTTGGAAACTTGTCTGAGACCAAATTCTTTGGCTTTGCCTGCCATGTAGTTTTCAACCGTGGTTGATCTTGGCTTGAGTAACTGATGGGCCATTTCAGCCAGTGGTGGTAAGTTAGTGGCTGTGGTGGAGAGAACCCAGACTGGAAATGTAAGGCCAGACATAGGCTAAACTTGACCGGTAAGCTGGTGTATGACCTAGGGCCCCTGGGCCACCATCTGCAAAGAAGGTGGTGGTCGAACTTGATTTGAACTTTTACTATTCAATTTAGAGAATGGAGTGTCTCCTTCTACTGATGCTTATTAGAGGGAATGGAGAATTATAGAAAATTAAAATGGAGGAAATCTCTCCCATTTTCCTACAGATGAGGGTTTTTAATATTTTTCTTTGTCTTTTAATGGATGTGTAGCCCACCTAGTTTCCAAGAAGGATTTGAGGTGACCCTAGTGTACATGTATTTAGTTTTTCATAGTTGAAGGCACATTCTACTGAAGTTTTTTCTCAGTTAGTTATCTTTACAGCAGACACATATTACGTAATCATTCTTGTGATGTTGGAATTTGTGATCTCCAGTTTTTTGCTCGGTTCTGACCACAAAGATCTGTTGCCAACTCCACAATTTGGTGATCAGGCAGAATTGTCCTAGGAACAGGATGGATTTGGATTTAGAAACATGGAGAGAACACTGCTGGGAAGGCAAGCTGAGTGTCCCTCAGTCTCTAGTTGATAGCTTGGGACGGGGAAGCATTATTGGGGGTTAGACAGAAAAGGCTTGGGTTCTTGACTTGGTTGCTGTGTGACTCTGGCCAGGCCGCTGAAATTATCTACGCCGTGGTGCCCCCTCTGAAAACGCGTGGCCTCTCGGGCAGCTCTCACGATGGTAAATCTTTTGTAAATTACAAAGCACTGTATGTTTCATGGTGACAGCAGTATTTTGCTCCCATTTAAGGAGTGCCCACAATATGCCAGGTACCTTGCTGAGCACTTTGTGTCTTGTTTGATTGCCAATTACTTACGATGTAGCTGCTGTTCTCATTTTAGGGAGGAAGGAAGTGAGGCTTGGAGAGGTATATGGCAGAGCTTCAAACAGAATCTGGGGTAGTGTCTTTTGTGTCAAACCACGCCTCCTATAATGGCTTAGTTTTCTGTCAGTGTCTTCAGATCCTCACTTAACCTATTTTTATAATTCAACCGGTAAAATTTCTTGGATCAGTGAATTTTGCATTTTTATGTGACATTCTTAAGGCATCTGAATTGGTGCCTACGTCTTGGGAGCTTATTTTTGGTTGTGAAAAGCATATTAATAGCGATAATACTAGGAATGACAAAACCAGTAGGTAACCATTTATTGAGTATTGTGTGCTGAGTGTTATAAACATTAACTCATTTAATGTTTACAGGTACAGGGTTGGTATCCCCATGTAAAATACGCAGTGGGACGCAGAAACACATTTATAGTTGGCAAAGTGCTTCTGCACCGAGCACATGAATGGCTCACAGAACACTCGATATATGAATGAATGAATGAATGAATGGATGAATGACCATCCTTACTGAAGGTCACTCAGCTATTAAGTGTTAGAGCCCCAGCGCCTGAGTTCTTAACCTCTGCGCTTCACGTCTCCCGGGTCACTCAGCTGTGTGTCCCTCATTGGCTGCGGCCTGATGATTGTCATGTGCAGTCCAGGCAGTCCTGACGGTCTGTTCAAACACTAACTCATCTCCTCCTGCACATGCTCTCTCCTAGTGGCCTTGTTCCCAATTTACCAGACGACGTGGATGGCATCAGCCCCATTGCTGGTTTGGGAAATGGTGGTAAGTATACAAAGCCGGTCAGTCTCTTGAGTAAGAGCGAGGGAAGTAGACACTAGACCATGAAGGCCTTTGGCCTTGAGCCTAGACTGGCCTTCGATGTCTCCGGGGCCCCGGGCCTCCCCTGGCATGGCTAGGTGCTCCCCGTGGGCGCTCGGTATTTTATATACCTACTGAGTTGCTGTTCACCTCCTCTCTTAAACACTGGCCTGGAGGAACTGATGTCCTCCAGGCCCTGTTTCGGGAGTTTTATTTGTCGCCACCAGACGCGAAGAGATTCAGCCGGTGTTTGCCGAGCTGAGCGCCTGCGCGGAGGCTGCGTGTCGAAGTGGTGACCTGGTCAGGTGTGGAGGGCCTGCTGCCCCCTGCTGCCGCGTGGCTGCAGGCCCTGAGCACTGCCCTCTGAGCGCGGTGTGCCAAGGCCTTCCCGGCAGGCCGCTGGCTTCCATCTGCTGGCCGAGGCCCAGCATTCCAACAGCAGCCTGCCCTTTGGAGACAAATAGTTGGTCAGACCACGGGACATGGCAGCGAGGAAATAAGCAGTCTGTTGTGCGGAAGCTGGGTTGCGAGGAGCGTCTCTGCTGGGCAGCTCGGCTTTTGCTAAGCATTCTTCCCAAGTTTTGTTTCTGAAAGAAGCGAATGCTATTATAAGTATCTTTGGGAAGTGCTAATAATTTGCCTTTTTAAAAATATCTGAAGAGATATTTTGACTTGTGGGTTGTTTTTTTCTCTTTTCCAAAGCGAGGCGACGTGCAGAAGGAAGTCTTTAGAACAGACAGTGTAAGTGTCCTGAGGTTTATTTCTGGAGAACACTTAAAGGCCACCCTCAGGTTTTCCATCAGAACCTGTTAACTTCTACCTTACACACAAAATCCAGCAATCTCTATTCTTCCTGTGGAAAATTGATGGGCCTGCTCCTTGCTTCAGTCCACAGTGTTTGTACATCACTCTGTGCCCAGCCCGGGGCTGAGTACTGGGATCCAACCTTGAACGTGGTTACAGTCAAGCCTAGAAGATAGTTCAACAGAGAAGTGTCATGACAAATCATATAAAAAAAGGTGCTGTGAGGGAGGATGAGGGGGAGGCGGTCAGGCAAGAGTTTGTTAAGACATTGATACTGGAGCTGAGACTTGATGAACGAGTAGGACCTAGATAGGGACACAGTCCTTGGTGGCAGAGCACGGGGTGTCTGAGAGCCAGGAAAACAGATCTGCGTGCCCTTGTCTGCTACTCAGGGTTCTTTACAGTGTGCCCCTGCCCACCTCCACCTCCGAGCCTCTTGTGCCCATTGGTTTCTGAACGCCATGCCTGCCTCTAGGCCTTTGCCTGTGAAGTTTCTTCTTCCTTTTGCCTTCATCTGCCTAATGCCTCTTTAAGACTCACCTCAAAGCTCACCACCTTCTTTGGCTCTCCCCAGGTTCGCTTTGGTGTTCTTTCCTCTCTGAAACTTACACATTTCACTTACTTCATTTATTCCTGTTGATTGGTGACTTTAAAAACCTCCAGAATCAGACCCCTTCCCTGAGTATCATCTTACTACCTGTGCTAAGCCACCGCGATCTCTGGCCTGGATTGTTCCAGTACTCTGGCTGGTGCCCTGGTCTCCCTCTAAGCTCCTTTCAGTCTGGTCTCGGCGAGGCAGCCCGAGGGAACCTGTCGAAACTCAAGTCCAGCCATGTTCCTCCGTAGCTTGGAGCCCTCTGGTGGCTCCCCAGTCCGGAGAAGAGCCTACAAAGCCAGGCACAGCCTGCCCCCCAGCACCTCCCTTACATCCTCTCCTGCGGTCCCATTGTTTAGTGTCCTCCAGGCCCCTGCGGCTGGTTCTTACATCCACTGGGCACCCTCCCACCTCAGTATCTCCCTTTGCCCTTTTCTTCAGGTCTGCCCAGAGGACACCTTCTCAGGGAGACCTTCCTGATTTAGCCACCTTACTTAAAATAGCAATCCTCACCCCACCCTGGATATTTCCAATCCTTCACCACTGAATTTTTCTCCATAGCATTTATCTCTTTTTAACATACTATCTAATTGCCCTCTTATTTTGTTCATTGTCTGTCTTCTCTCTTGAGACTGTCAGCTCCATTTGTTTCGTTTCCTGACGTGGCCACATCTAGAGTGGTGCCTAGCAGAGAGGAGGCCCTCAATGCATATTTGTTGGAAGAATGGATTCATTCATTTACTCAGTGCATGTTTCACCCAACACCTAAAAAGCACCAGGCACTTTCTACAGCATGGTACCAGTTTGTCTGCATCTCTGTCTTGCCTACTAGATTGAGAGCCTTTAGGCGGGATCAGTGTCTCTCTCACCATTGTTTCCCCAGCACTAGGATGGTGATTGGCACCGAGTAGGTGTGCGATGAATGTTTGTTGGAGTAGAGGAGCTGTGAAAAGCTTTGGGCGGTGGCAAAGTCTGTAATCGCCCTAAAGCAAGGATGGGGCAGTTTTCAACCTGTTGCCTGCTTTTGAAAACACTTCTTGGAACACAGCTTCCTTACTTATGAATTGTCTGTGGCTGTTGTGCTCCAGCAGAAGAGTTGACCAGTTATGACAGATCTTAGGCTCTGCTTATGGCCTACAAGAGCCTAAAATATTGATTGTCTGGCGTTTTAAGAAAAAATTTGCCAACCCCAGGCAGTTAGACATGCTTTAATTGCTGACACGGGAAGGTGGTATCCCGTTCAGTGAAATAACTTCCTGACGATCACAGAGGAAGCACCTATCGGGACAGTTGGGGTTGGCCACGTGCCCAGTGCGTTTCGTGGGTTCGTTCTCCGACAGGTTACACTGGGCCTCCTTGAAGTAATTTGTAAATACCTGAAATATAATGGTTTAGAGCTTTCCCTGGACTCAAGTCAGTAAATCACAATAGACAAAAAGTGCCAGCCGAATGTACTGTGGAAGCTGTTCATGTTTTTGTGTTTTTCTTTTCTGGGCTCTGTTCCCTAACAGGGATGCTGGGTGGTTTGCGTACCATGCCGTTTTCCTGTGTCTGTTTTACCTTTTTATAGTGCTCCCAAATGTGTCCGAAGAAACAGTGTCTCCCACCAGAGCACGGAACATGAAGGACTTTGAAAATGTAAGTGGAGATACCAGATCATCATCCCTAACAAATCACGTCTGCTGCCGCGGTGCAGGCAGGCCCAGGCGGGAGCTGTATTTCTTGCGAGGTGTCGGAGCTGGATCACGCCAGAGTTGCGGGCGGTGCTGCCTCTTGGGGGCGCTCTCCGTACGGCTGTTCCCTACCTGTGCAGCCGGCCCTTACTGTCCCGGGCCGGATGCGGGTTCTGACAGGACCAGCAATTTCCAGCTTTGGGGAGTTTGACGTATTTCTGGGGTCCTGAACGTCAGGATATTACCATACTGCCCAGCGGAGAGGCGCTAATATTTGCCAAGGGCTTCCCTGTAACGTGAGGCATGTTATTGATGGTCCCCACTTAATCCTTGCTATAACTCTTTGAGGTATTTTACATTTTGCAGATAAGTCGTAAGCCTAGGAGAGACTCGCTTACAGTCACGTAATGCTTGAGTGGTGGGGCTGGGATTTGAATCCAGGTTTTTAAGGATTCCAAAACCTTTATTCCTGCCGCTGCTCTGTGCCACCTCCTTGCTTTTCATAGGCTTCGTCTTTGTTGCTGTGGAACAAAACGCGAGCAGCCTGCGCCCAGGGCGGTTGTGTATAGCGTCTGAGGACGCCTTACGTGGTGATGGATTTGGCCTCCATGCTTAGTGTCTTCCCGCATTGTGTCTTCCATTTGTTAACAGAGGGGGTTTGTTGTCAAGGAACAGGAAAATAAGGTTATTTTCCCAATTCCAGTTCTCCTTAACAAGTTACCTGTTCAGCGCTCTCATTTGTCATGGGAAGAATTAGACCCTTCTTCATTTGCAGCCAAATGAAATCCATACTATGCAAGACACAGGAGATATTTATCAGGGAGAAGACGGAGGACAGAGAGAAGGACGTTCCACAGTTACGTCTCTCCCTCCCCGGTTGTCTTTACAGAACAGAGCGGTACTGTCTCTGGATTTAATTTAGAATACTCATTACTGCTAATAGTTATCTGCAAACCACCAGTGACCAATTGAAGAAATGACTTGTCAGATCTCTAATGGAAACAAGTAATTTCTGAGCTTTGAGTTGTTCTCATTTCAACTGTACAACTCCATCTATGCTGTGGGGTCTGGGGCCTCAATCAAATGAGATTTGATTATTCCACATCGTGTATAATTAAAACGTGCTCTGCTATTAAATGGCTGTTTCTGTTTTATCCTCAGAGTAAGAATAGCCACTGTTTATTGAGCTCTTGCTCTGAGCTGGGCACTTGAAAGATTTAGCTCTTCATGTATGTTACTTTAATATGGAAGCCGATCCGCCAGACACAGAGTTATTTAATTTTTGAAGGGCACGGCTTTGAATTTTATTTCTAGGTGGAAAAACTTAACAGAATCTTAGAATTTTCGTTCTGCATGTTATTGTCTGCCTTTTGAGCCGGAAGGAATCTTAGACTTGAGTCCAACCCTAGGAGAAGCTGAGGTGCAGGGATGTGACCTGGCAGACCGTGGCCCCTGGACCCAGGCTGCCTGCAGGTTCACTGCTCACGAGTGACCTCGGGCCAGTCGCGTAATCTGTCTGCACTGTCTTTAGACTGGGCCTGTTGACAGTTTCTGCTTCTTGAGGCTGCTGGCAGGATTAAGTGAGCACCTCTCGGCCCGACGCAGAGCTCCTCCTCCTCTTCACTGTTGTTAAATTCGTTATTAGTTTTTCTACTCTGCCGTGTGATTCAGGTGTCCCTTCTCCAGATGGGTTCTGGATGACCTAAATGCTGTTGTTCTGGAAGGCGAGAGGGAGTCTTCTGTGCCGATACGTTTCAGGATTTATGCTTTTTCTTTATGGCTGTGGTCCTCCGGCTGCTGTTAGGTTTTTATGGCATTAATATTTTTTATTGTAGCATTTTCAAGAGCAAATTCTGCCGCTGAAATTGAAATGACCACAGTGTTCCCAGTGTCTCCCTTTCAAGTCTTTATGAGTCGCTGAAATGTTTCATTTGGCCTGAGCTACTACGCGCATGAGCTCTACGCAGAGGTGGTCCGAACTTTCTGTGGGATGCTTGTAGGCAATGCTGTTGGCGTCGAATGCTAATTTTAAAGTCAGCATGCATATTAAGGAGGGGCTGGAATACTTTTGATTTACAAGGAAGTTCATGATTACTCTTACGCTAGTCTCAGCTGCTGGGTAACCGAACATCAGGGTCTATTAGCTAAGGTCTAGCAAGACCTCGGCCTTCTTCTGGTTTGCTCAGAGTTCATCCATTCATCAACAAATGTTTTCAGATATATGCTCTGTGCCAGTCTGTGGTCTGAGGCTCGGGAGTCTGCAGTAGATTAAGACCAGGGAGGTTTCCCTCTCATGAGACTCACAGGCCGGTTGGGGAGATAGATGGGAAAATGGTGCAGCGACAGAGGGAAGTACAGAGCACGGTGGGGCACAGAGGAGGGCTCTGAACCTGGCTGGGGGGATTCAGGGAAGCCTCCCTGGAGGAAGTGTTCCTCGAGCTGGGTCATCAGGGACAAGTAGGGATTAGCCAAGGTGAGAGGAGTGGGAGAGCATCCCAGGCACAGGGACTCAACCTGGGCAAGCGCAGCGAGAGGTGTGCTGGGCGCAAGGAGTTTAGGGGGTTGTAAGTTCCCGTTGGCTGGAAGGAGGCTGTGTCAGGGGGTCCTGAGAGCAGTGAGGCCACTGAAGAAGGCAGGGGTCAGGGGTCTCGAATGTTACCCTGCTTTGGTTGACCTTTGTCCTGAAGATGAAGGACGGCCGGTGGGGGATGCTTATCTGGGAGGGAAAAGACCAGAGCTGTACTCTCAAAGAGCCCTCCCCTGGGCTGGAGGCCTGGCGACAGGCTGTCACTGAAAGGCTGCTCCGTGGGGTGGTGCTGGAGCTACGTGGCTGTGGTCGGGAGAGGTCAAGAAGTGAGGCTGAGACTCGGATCTGGGGGAGACCATCCCGTCCCTTCGTTTGACACACGGGCGCTCCGAAGCCCAGAGAGGGCGCTGACTCTTCCAGGCTGGGAACCAGGTCTTCCACACAGGTGGCCTTTCCTGCTGTCCTCTGCTGTCCCTTCTGTGTGAAAGCCACTTGCCTCCTTGTGGGTCTTTGCATTGCCGATCCTTTGTCTATACCTGCATCAGGTGAGGTGGTAATCACCTGTAGGGCAGGCCTTAGGGGGAGGAGCTGGCAAGTCTGCCTGTCTTACTGGTCCTTTCCAGGTGACAGCACAGTGGGGGCTCCCGGACATCGACCGGAGGAGGCCTGGCAGAGGCAGCGTTTTGTAAGACACTGTGCTGTGTAGTGTGGCCTGTTCTGGGTACTCAGGCAATTTCTCTTTCTCTTTCTCTCTCTGTCTCAACATTTTTTTGGTGAGTGGAGGAGACCCAGAATCTGGATCAGTATTGGTGAGTGGAGGAGACCCAGAATCTGGATCAGTATATCCAGTCCAGGTAGCTGTCTTTATCTGTATATAGAAGAATTTAATTCTGGCTTTTTCTGTGACCTTCCGGACAGAACATGGCATGGGTAGCTTTCTGCCTCTCTTAATACTGGTGGACAGCATTATTTCATGACTACTAGTTCAGAAAGACTTGTATTAAGAGGAAGGGCTTGAACTATAATTTACATAATCTCTTAGTGTGGGACATTCCAGGTTGTTTTGAATTTTTCACTCTTACAAAGCTTTGATGAGTCTCCTCGTGTAGGTCATTTTACAGTTACATGATTATGTCCTTAGGATAAATTCTGCTGCTCTGGTCTCATACCCGCCTGCCCGAGGTGCTGGTGTTCTTGTGCCCAGGCCCCTGTTCCTTTGTGTTCAAAGTTCCTGGTCTCAGCTGAGGCAGGCGGAGACCCGGCCCTGTGTAAGGGGCTGCTTCCGTGTTGCTGAGGTCAGCACATGCCTCCTTCCCTCACAGCCTGTGCTCTGGCCACACAGCCTGCTCTCACTAACCCACACGGGCAGGGCCTTCTCCGTGCTTCTCCCTCTGCCTAGAATCCTTTTTCCCTCTCCTTGAGTGGCAGGACCTTCGTGTCTCAGCTTGAAGTGTGACCTTGTTAGAGAGGCCGCCCCTAACTCCTTCCCCAGCTCTCTGGAGACCCCCATTATCTTGTCTGACAGCAGGCACTCAGCACCGGCCTTTTCCACCATGGATCTTTCGACTATTTGTACTTCGGTGTTTTATTTGTGTGCTTGCTCAACGTGCGTCTCCTTTATCCCTAGTACTCAGCGCCCGACAGGATGGTGGGCGCTTGATAAGTATTTGTTGAGTAAGTAAATAGACAGACGAGCTTGTAGAAGAAACTAGATCTGTACATTTTGGTTACCTTGTCTGTAAAATGGGAAAATAATTTTTGTCTCATTGGGTTGTGATAAGGATTGAATCGGGAATGCCAGGACCGTGTAGTGGGAGGGGGACAGAGCTTGGAGTCGGCGTGGGGGCACGCAGAGCCCGCCTTACAGGAGAGCAGGCAGCAACCAGGCAAGCCGAGGCTAGGGACGCAGCATGAGGGGTGCGTTTAGAACAAGGCAGGAGACCAGGAACCGTGTGGATGCGAGTCCGTGGAAGGGGCTGAGGACTGTCTGTAGCTGGCCGACTGCGTGCTGCAGCCACTCTCCGTGGTGCTGGCTGTGTTCAGGATGGGGCTGGCCAGCACCGAGGGCCTTTGGATTCAAGTTTGGCTTGTGGCCGGTGGAATGTCTGGTCGGGGCTAAGCACCGGGGTTCACCCGTGCTTCTGGTTCATCCTTGGCCTCCCGCTTACCATTGGAGGCTGTGTGTTCTCATACCTTTGCCCTCCAAAAACCTGGCCAGATGGCAGGCTGGGCAGTGTAAATTTTTACAATCTTTTTTCTGAAGGCCATTTGGAAAGAGATTTTTATGGTCATAAAAATAGTATTACTCTTGAGCCTCGTAATTTGTTTTGGGGGAAATTTGTCCTAGGGAAACAACCCAGTGGGAGGAAAATGCCGTGTGCGTGAAGCTGTTTGTTGCCACATTGTGTACGGTTGGGAAAAATTGGGAACGAGGGAAT